CCCTTGCGCAATAAGGCTATTGAACAGCTGGTGTTGAACTACGCTGTGAAGGCCCTGAACGTGCTAAAGGGAAAAAAAGTAAAGCAGCATAAGCCCATGCGGTTGTGGTTGGGGTGAATATTGTTTGTGATGCAAACTACACTGATGCACAGAGCAACTGTTAAAAGCAGCTTTAATAAAATCTATAGTGATGTGGAAAAAACAAAGATCTTCCACCACTGGAGGGTTCCAGTAGCAGATGAAGCCAAAGTGCCTTTTTGGGGAAGACGCTGCTTGAAGATAAGAATGTATTTCAGGATTTATATCTAGAAATACAGAACATTGCCATCTCACCACAGCCTCTCACCGGGGAGGCGGGCCGAGCTGAGCACAGCAAGATAATCTCTACAGACCGCACACCCCCAGAAGAAGTAGATTACAGTAGTTTCGTGGAGAACACACGCCCCAGGAAGAAAAAAAAAAACAACCTCAATATATATTACATAAAGTATTCTCACATATTAAGTTTTGCAGTTTGAAGGTCACACAGAATATCCCATTGCAAAAAAAGAACAAAAAAGAAAGGCAAACTGTACAGGAGGGCGTCACCCTTAGCTCCGGAGGGTCGCTAACCGCGACTGCATCGCTTCGATGTCTTCCTCCTCGTCCACAGCAGCGGCCGCTCCCATGGGCTCGGGCTCCGGCAGAGCATCCGTGACTTTGCTGGGTGCTTTACCCAAGGCCCCTGCGAGCAACAAACAAACAGGCCCGTTAGGTCTTCGTTTCATCAGCAGCAGCTTTCAGGTCCGGGTATTTAAAATCATTCCACCCGTCACTTCTGGCCGAGGTCGCACGCAGGAACTGTTTGCCTCGACCGGCCCCTCTGCAGCCGGCCCGGCAGGAAGGGAGCTGCGCCCAGCCAGGAAACGGGGCGGAAAACAGCAAAGCGGGGGACAAGAAACAAGAGAGGCGAGAAGCCAGCAGCGGGGCGGGAGCTGGGCAGCCGCGCTTCGGGTGCGTTACAGCCGAGCATGGCACCAACACGCTGGTTTGTCACCTCGCATCACAAGAACCGGAGGTGAGGAGGACGCTCAGCATTACCTGCGTCAAGTAACTAAACCAGCAGCTCACGACTTCAGAAGCTGTAAGGCAGAAGTTGGGGGTTTGGGGCTGGGTTTTGGGCGGGTTTTTGTTCGTTTTGTGGATTTTTCCCCCCCCTCTGACAACTCAAGACTAACAGCATTTTACAGCCAGGAGTCACAACGCAGCCCCGAGGCTCCAGGCAGTGCAGATGATTTCCTGGCTTCACTGCTAACAGGGTATCTAGTCAATCAGATAAATTTCACCTCGTTAAGAGGATCCCCTGCACAGACAAACACTGATCTGTTGAAGCCTCCATTACAGAACTGCCCAGAGATCAGCTGATGAATTCTTACTTACGCTTCACTGAACCACACCGGCCTTCTCAGCCAGTATTCCCCGAGAAACCAGTTTGTCAGAGCACTCTGCCCAGCAGCAAAGGCACGGGCACTGGGAGAGCGCCACGAACTCCGAGCAGGCGACGCTGTAAATCGCTGCCTGTTACGGAGCAGCGCGGGGGCAAGGCTCCGCTCCCGGCAGACACGCACAAACTCACCGGCTGTAATTTCAAAAAGGATTTTGTCAACTTCCATCTGGGCTTCCTCTTCCATTTCCTCCTCATCCTCCAGGCTCTCCAGGGTGTCCTCCAGCATCTCCTCTATGATACCAGCCTGGCGGAAAACCGAGAGGCAGCGCGTGACGCCCTGGGAGACAGCCCAGCGAGCGGGCGCACCTCCTACTCGTGGTCAGGCTGCACCCACCAAGGCATTTAAACCTCTCGACGCCTAAGCTGTTCGCATCACGGCCATCCCACAGAATCACAGAGTGGTCAGGGTTGGAAGGGACCTCTGGGGGTCACCCAGTCCAACCCCC